ACCCCGGGCTCAGCCGCCTCTGCGTCGCCAGCCGCGGCCGGGCACAAGCTCCAAGAGAGGCGGGTAGGACCCGGCCTTGGTGGAGCCCCCTGCGATGACCCCACGGCGGGAGCAATCGGGCCCGGGGAGCAGCGGCTTCTGCTGGATCGAGCTGAATGAACCGGCTCTCCGGGAGATCGGGGCAGGACGGTTCCGCGACCGCGGGAGGGTCGTTTGCTCGGATCCGTGCCCCCATGGATCTGCCCAACCCCGTGCACAGCCCATCCCAGTGGATCCCTACAGTCCGCCCTCGATCTTTCAGCACACGCGGACCCTCCAGCAGATCCGTCTGTTCCCCACCACCCCCCGTGCGTCTATGCAGCTCGCCCCATTGCTGCAGTCTCGGGCCTTGGACAGAGGAGTCCCTCCCTCGCCGGGTCAGTCCCTCCCTGCCAGCGAGCTACCGGGCCGGCCCGGGCCCCGCAGCCAGCTGCTGCGATGTAGGGTTCTAAGAATAGCGGCCCTCAACAGCCAGGTCGCAGGGATCCATCCAGCCGGGCCCGCACCTGCTGAACCAGCTCGGAGCGGATCCATCCAGTCCCTCCACTCGCTCTTCACCCAGCCGAATCAGACTGCCCCGGCGCTAGGGGAAGTGGGTCCCTGCTGGGGAAACAGCCCGCGGGCTAGACCCACAGACCCGTCAGGGCCCAGAGGGAAACTCCATTAACCCTGAGCCGCCTGCGCCGCCCGCCCTAGCAGGGCCTGGGTCCTGCTCCACGCGGCTGCAGCGGAGCCCGCTGTGCCTGGGTGTGGGGTGGATGCCAGAGGGGAGCGAAGGGGGCCAGGGCGCTGCCAGGAGGAGGCCGGTGAAACGCCGGGAGAGGAGCCCCCGTCCAGGGCCTCCCGAGCGGTGTCCAGGGGGTGCGAAGCCTGCCCCAGGCTGGGCAGCCGGGCGGATTGTAACAGTGTTAATATCGACACTAACCGACTGCAGCGTCTGCCCACCTGGAGCCGCCTGGCCCGGGCAGAGCAGCGCTCCGCTGCCCAGCCACGACGGGTAGCGGGAGGCGGATTTAAGCTAAACCCTGATAAAAACCAGGAAGGTTAAAGTGAGCAGCGGCTGGGGGACGTGAGAGAGTCACTGGGCTGCTGGGCCAAGCCGGGCCTGGCCCGGACAGCCCCATGCCCAGAACAGGGTGCGGGCCGGTCAGCGCAGAAGCCCGCAAGCGGTGAGATCCGCGGGGCCTGCGAACAGGCCTGGTGCGGAGGAGGGTGATTTTAACCCCCCTGTTCTCCCCGCGCCGCTGCTTCCTGGCGGAACCGAGCACCGGCAGAGCCGCCAGATTTCTGCCTTTGCACCAAAACAGCGTTCTGGGCTGGATGCGTCCCGCGGTCAACCCCTCCTGGATGCGCCGGGCTTGGGGACAGGGAGCTGGGCCTCCGTGGGACTCCTAGGCAGTCCCGGCTGGGCCCAGAGCCAGGCTCAGGGATGCAGGCCTTGTTCGGGGAGTAGGCCCCAGCCTCCCCGGACCAGGCTCTAGGGGGTGCGGGGGAGCTGAGGGCCCAAGAGGCCGAACAACCTTCTGGGTTCCAGGCCAGGAACGGCCCGGCGCGGGCCCAAGCCTGGCTATGGTGCCATTGATCGAGGCTACAGGGGAGACGGGAGGTGTGGGCGATGGGCCGCGGGAAGGGCTCGCCCCGTGCAGGGGCTATCGACCCCCAAAGGCAGAGTCCCAGCCTGCAGCGCAGCCACGGGGAAGGAACGCGCCCCCCGCCTTTGCCAGGCTCCCCTTGCCAAGGCCTGTGGAGATTCCTCCCCACGCCGAGTGTTGGGGGAATGAGCCGCCCCCGAGGACAAACCGGCCGGGGGTCGCTGCGGTGAAAGACTCCCGGACCCCGCAGCGCCGTGATCCCGCCGGGGAAGTCCGGAAGCTTCGGGAGAACACGCGCGGGAGCCCTGGGGGCCAGGGCACTTGGGAGGCCACGGGGTGGGGGGGCTCCTGCGCATCCTTCACACCGAGACAGCTTGACACCGGCGCCCGCTCCACCCTGCTTGCGGCTCCTGCGCTTACCCAGGCCGGGGCCTCTGCGCCAGCCGCAATCGCAACCGAACCTCCCCCCTTGCCTCGCAGCCCCGGGACCCCGCAAGGCTAGGGGAGGCGGCTCGGGGCGCTCGGGCCTTTCCAGGCCGCCTAACTGCGGAGCGCCGGGCGGCTGCCTTTCCCTCGGGCCTGCTCAGATCAGCACGGCCCTGCGGGAACACCCGGAGCCTCACCGGCCCTTGCCGGATTCCCCGCGAAACCCTGGCCCCACAGAAGTCACTGGGGGGCAGCGGGGCCGGGATTTCACCCCTAGGAGCCGCAACCTCCAAAGCTGTGCGGCCCTCAGCAGCCAGCCCCGCGCCGATGTTAACAGCCAGCGGGGCCCGATCCGGGTGGAGGCGGCCAAGGCAGAGGGAGCGGCTCCCAGGCCGACATTGGGCCCCCAGGTAGGCCCTGCCACTGCCCCGGGGCGGCGGGGTGGGTGAGCTCGCCGCGGCAGGGAACCCCATGGAACGACGCTGTGAACGCCCGGCTCTCTCCCGCGGAGCCGGGAGCAGTCGCTGCTCTCCGGCGGCGCGGTGCAGGGGAGCTGGCGGCAGCCGCCCGGCAAGTATCGAATTCATTTGAAATGTGCGATTGATAATGATCATCTGCCAGCCGGGCGGTGTGTAATAACGATCAGCCCCTCTCCGCCCGCCACCGCAGCGAAATGTCTCTCGCGGAAATTGTTATCGATCGGTTCTTGCACCCAAATGTTTTCGGCGGAAATTATAAATTATAGTCAGTTATTGTATCGAAATCTTTTAGATCTAGATTAGTGATAATTATTAGCGATAATCCCCGGGTCCGAATCGCACGGGCCAGGGCGGCGGCGCCGCAGGAATTAAATTCGGTTTAACTTTTACACGTAAATAAACCGCAGAACTGCTCCGGCTGCGGCGAGTTTCTTTGCCCACAAACACCGAGCGGGGCCTGAGGCTGGGGCGCGGGAACCACGGGGAAGAATCGGGAAATAACCAAACACCCGGTGGAGAAAGAAAACTGGACCCGAACCCTGCGGAACCCGCCGCCGGGTCGGGCTGGCGCGATTCGCCTCCCCGAGTGCCTGGGGTGAAGCGCGGAAGCCAGAGCGCCGGGGGGCCGGGAAGCCCCCAGAGCAGCCCCCGAGTGCGCCGGGTACTCACGCGACCTGCGGTCCGTGCTCCGGTCCGCCGGCGCCACGGGATCCGCTTTCGGCGTCCCCGTTTCGATTCTCACGGGCCTGCGGAGCAACACAATTGTTCGTTAAAACGAAATATCCCCGCTGTCACTGTCCCCCCTTCGCTTTTCCCTTTTGTTTCCCTGGAAGCGGCTGCTCTTCCCCGCATATACCGAAACCTCCCAGCGACAGGGTCCCGGGCCCGCCGCCTCCCAGTCGGGCCGCCAGGAAGAGACTGTTTTCTTCCTAAAAATCTGTAGACATCGGTGGATTGACTGGACAGCTGGGTTCCTCGTTCCCCGTTTTCGGGCCTTTCTTCCCCGACTGCCTCCAAAGGGCGCCAGGATCGGACCCGTGGCCTGGGCCGCGGAGCGCGGGTTATCGGCCACTCGCCGCGATAATTCACAGGAGCGTTCGCTGCGGAGAGATAATTATTTTCAGCACCCCCCTTTGCAGGCAGCCTCCCTGCCGGGCTGTCCCCCCTTTGCCTCGATCTCCCCTCGACGCCGCGACAGGCTCTCGCTTCCCCGGGCTTGTGTAGAAGGAAAACGAAGGACACTGCTCTGTCTTGGGCCGTCCCGGGCTTTCCCTACAGAGTTCGGCTCGTTTGGGGTTTTCCTTTGCAGCTCTGGATCTGACTTCCCAGACAGAGGCCGGCCCGCGCCGGCAGCAGAGATCGGTGCTGGGTCTGGGTCTCCTGCCCTGCTCTGAATTGCGGCGTCCACCGTCGTATGGACTCTCTGGGCCGATCCTGATCTCACGGCAGCGCAGACGGCGGAGTTCGGCCAGATCCTCCGCTGATGTAAACCAGCAGAGCTCCATGAAAAACAATGGAGCCCGGCCAATTCACAGCAGCTGAGGGCGCAGGCCCAGGGGCGCCTGGGGAGTTTGCCGCTAACTTCAGTGGAGCCCAGAGTTTACCCTTTATTTTCAAAAAACTCTCCTCTGTCCGTTTCGCAGCTTCAGTCTCCTGGAGGCAAGAGGGGGCTCCCAGGTGGGAATCTCGTCGGGGATCCCCCAGCTCCTGCAGGCCCTCGTCTGCCTGGGAACCCACTGCGGCCTCAGGGGTCCTGCTCCTGAGAGCAGCGCCGGGCGCGTTCACCAGGCAGGGGGCATGGTGGCCCCCTTCTCCGGAGGCAGGCCCAGGAGAGAACCCCTCGGCCGGGGAGAAGGGGTGCGGGGCAGGACAGAAATCGGCACAGGCCCGGGCAGCACCCCCCGCCGCCCGTAGGTGCTGCTCAGTGAGACTTCTGGCTACTTTCCAGCGGGAGCCTAGGCCGGGAGAGGGCAGGGGTTTGTTCTCTCACAGCGATTCCCTTGGGTAGACCTGTCCGGAGACCCCCGCGCACCATCCCGCACTCCCCGGGCCTCTGAGCGCTCCCCGGGCCCGGCGCAAGCTGTGTGATGTGCCTACCTACCTACATGTACTTAGCATTGACATGAGCACCGGCTTTGTCCAGGGCACCCCTGGGATCCGCACAGCTGGGGCTCCCTGACCCCCACACACCGTCCCGCAGCCTCTGCCCAGCCAGGTGGGTGCCAGGCCCGGTCTGGCGCGCTCCTGGGAGCAGCCTCCCCCAGCCTCCCTTTAAGACATTGCTATTTCTGGTAGGGCAGCCGGATCTCGGGCCGGGGCTCGAGGGGCCGGCTCAGCCACCCCCACCCTCCAATGGGGAGGCTGCCCACAGGGCCCCGGCCCCTCCTCGCCGTGACGTGCTGGCCCCGGGCAGAGGAGGCTCGCGAGCCCTTGGCTGGTCCCCGCAGAGGCTGTAACAAAACGCAGACCCCCAGCGCCGGGCTAATGGAGGCAACTTAGCCAGGAGCAGGCGCGGCCCCTCGTTTATCAGCGCGCGGCGCTGCCTGCTCCCCCGCCCAGGGCGCTGCGCCCCCCCAGCACCCCGGAGCGCCGCCGGGCCCTGCGCAGGGCGCTGCACCGCCCCCAGGGTCTATTGGCTGTTCGCGCTGCCCCGATGATGTTACCGAGCCCCGTCACCTCCACCCCCTTCTCTGTCAAAGACATCCTCAACCTGGAGCAGCCGGAGCCGCACTATGGAGTCCCGCTGCCCCAGCACCTGGAGCAGCAGTTCCACTCGGCAACCTGCCTGCTGGCGGCCGGCGACGGCTCCCGCTTCTCCGACGGGGAGGAAGAGGAGGAGGAGGAGAAGCTGTCCTATCTGAGCTCCATGGCCGCGGCGGAGAGCCAAGGGGACGTGGGGCTCTCCCCGGAAAACTACGTGCACGCGGTGCTGCGGGGCTCCTGTGAGCCCAATGGCCCGGGAGAAGAGCTGGAGCGCGCCGGGGATCGGGACCCCAGTGAGTATGGGGGCCGCGACCCCGCGGCCGCGCTGTTCACAATGCGGTACTAACCCGGCGCGGGGCAGGGGCAGCGGACCCCTGCAACTTCCCCCCACCCATCATCACCCCACAGCAGGGCTCGGGACTTTGGGTCAGCCGCAGCACCCGCTGTCCCCATCCGCCCCATAGCGCTCCTCCACCGCTGCCCCCATCCGCCCCATAGCGCTCCACCAGGGCAGCTCCCGTCCCTATCCGCCCCATAGCGCTCCTCCACCGCTGTCCCCACCCGCCCCATAGCGCTCCTCCACCGCTGCCGCCCCCAGCAGGAGTGAAGTCGGAGTCCGCCCCGCGTGGGTCTTCTCCCGAGTTTCTCTCCCCTGCCCGCAGAAGGCAGGTCCGTGGGCTGGGGGTCACCGCGGTGCCCGGGTGCTGACGGGAGGGCAGCGGGGCGGGCAGGCTCTGTTCCGATTGACCCTGGCGCCGCACCGCGCTGTGACAGGAACAATAACCCGCGGGGCGAGCCCCGGCCCCGGCAGCCCCCCGCGAGCAGAGGCGGCCCCGGGACTGTCACTCACCGAAGTGGCGCCCGAATCCGACCCCTGCCCCGTTCTCGGGAGCCGGGAACTCGCCCACCCCAGGCAGGGTGGGGGAACGGGGTCGCTGGGCGCAGAGCGGGCCCGCTCCTGCTCCGGGAGGCTGCTCGGAGGGGCAGAACCGGGCCCGGCAGAGACGCGGGAGGGTCCCGGCCCCGCGGTGGGCCCAGGCCTCGGGCGAGGAAGGGGAAGGAGACAGTCGAATGGATCTGGCGGCTCCCGCTGCTCCGGGGTGCGTGAGGGGAAGCGGGCGGGTGCCGGGAAAGAACAGAGGCCGCACCCCGCCTTGTCCCCATACGGCGTGCGGGGATGTCAGCCTAGCGCGGGTGTGTCTTGCTCTTTGCCTTCCGGCCTGAGTCCGGCATGCGGGGGATGCGTCCGGGGAGGCCGGCGCTTAGCCTGGAGCGCAGAGACTCCCACAAACTGCCCCGCTGCCCGAGGGGGCTCGGACCCGCCAGGGACCTGCTTTCCCGGCCAGCAGTGAGGGGCCAGAACCCCTGAGCAGAGCCGGGCCCTGTAACCCCCGTTCTCTGCACTCACACCGGGGCTGGAACTCGGGGCGGGGGAGGGCTGTCAGACCCCATGGCTTGGAGTGGTTTCCACCATATACAGGGTTTACAGTATGGGTCAATGGTTCTCAGCCCCCCCTGTACACACTGCTCTAGGCCCCTGCTCACACACACCAGCTGGGATTCTGCAGAGGCATGAAATGTGACGCAGCCCAGGGAGTGCACACCCAGCTCAGCGCCCTGAAATACTGCACAGCCCTGGCCACACACACAGAGCTGGGGGGTCAATCACCCCCCCACACAGCCACCCAGTACCTACAGCAACACCATGATCTCACAGCCACCCAGGGCCTACAGCAACACCGCGATCACACACACAACCACCCTGTGCATACAGCAACACCGCGATCACACACACACAGCTACACAGGGCCTACCGCAACACCGCGATCACGCAGGCAGGCACTGAAATACACAGCACTGCGCTCCCGTGTAAGCACTCACCAGACCATCACACCCCCCAGGGCATCCCGCACAAACACACACAGGGCTCCCCTGGCCCCGGCAGGCCACAGTCCAGCCCTCGCCGGGCCGCGGCCCGGGCCCCGGGCGCCTCCGGGGCTGTTCTCAGGCCATGTGCCCAGCGGCGCGCCCCAGGCTCGCGGCGCGAAGTCTGCCCGGGGCGGCCCCGCGGGCGAGGCCCGCTCCCCTGGCCCCGGCCCTAACCCTGCCTCTCCCCCGAGCAGAGCGCTGCGCCCCGAAGCCGCCGGCGGGCGCCGCGGCCAAGCCGGAGGAGGCGGAGAGGCCGAGGCCGCGGAGCCGCAGGAAGCCCCGCGTTCTCTTCTCGCAGGCGCAGGTCTTCGAGCTGGAGCGGCGCTTCAAGCAGCAGCGGTACCTGTCGGCGCCGGAGCGCGAGCACCTGGCCAGCAGCCTCAAGCTCACCTCCACGCAGGTGAAGATCTGGTTCCAGAACCGGCGCTACAAGTGCAAGCGGCAGCGGCAGGACAAGTCGCTGGAGCTGGGCCCCGCGCCGCCGCCGCCGCGCCGGGTGGCCGTACCGGTGCTGGTGCGGGACGGCAAGCCGTGCCTCGGGGGCTCGCCGGGCTACGGCTCGCCCTACAACGCGCCCTACTCCTACAGCGGCTTCCCGGCCTACGGCTACGGCAACGCGGCCGCCTGCAACGCCGGCTACGGCTGCAGCTACCCCGCGGGCGGCGCGGGCGGGCAGCCCGGCTGCAGCCCCGGCGCGGGCGCGGGGCCCTTCGTGAACGTGGGCAACCTGGGCGCCTTCGGCGGCGCGGCCCAGCCCCTGCACCAGGGGCCCGCGGGGCCCTCCTGCAGCCAGGGCGCTCTGCAGGGGATCCGGGCCTGGTAGCCGCGCGGGGCGGCGGACACTCTGGGCCAGGAGGGAGCCTGGTGGCCCCGGGGAAGGACAGGGACCCGCGCCGCCCCCGGCTGGTGCCCGCAGGCTGCACGCTAGAGGCAGACTGGAGCCCAGCGCAGCTCTCCGCGCCGCTTCGCTCAGGGCGGGAGCTGCAAACGCCGGCCAGCGCGATGGCCCAGCCTCCTCCCAGGTGGGGCAACTGAGGGCCGCTGCGCTCCGCGGAGCCCCAGTCCCGGCCCCTCCGTGCCCCTGGCGGGGGCGGGGGACCGGCGCAGCAGCTGTTGGGGCCGCAGGGCAGAAGGGGGCTCGGCCCAAAGCCTGTCCGATCCCCCACGGCGGCTGGGGATGGGAACGCGTCCCCCGGCTCTGGGTGGCTCGGCTGCCGGGCTGGGCATGGAGCTGGAATCCCCGCACCGTCCAAGCAGCTTCGCTTGTAAAAAGCCAAAGTGTCGGGGTCTGGGGGAGGCAGCCGCGCGGAGAGCCGGGCCCCTGTATCTACTCTGTATCCGCTGTAAGTGCCAGCCCGCGCAGGAGCGAGGGACTTAATAAACCAGGTGCAATAGCCCCCGTGCCTCATTGCTAGCGGCCCGGGAGCCCGTGGCCTCGGGCAGGGACCGGAGCGGGGGATTTCCGTTCGCCGCAGCCCAGGGGATGTTGTACGTTAGGGGTGAAGCCCCTGCCCCGTTGGAGTCAATGGGAGATTTGCCCTTGTTCCCAGCCAGCCCCCCATGGGGGTCTCCCTGGCTCGGCGCTGCCGGGTCCCTGTGCTCCGCTGCCCCGCGCCCAGGACTCGGCTGAGCACTGGACGAGCAGGGGAGCGCCGAGCCCTGCTTTGTGCCGGCGGCTTCACCGCGGGTGCGGAGAGGCGAGTCCCTTGTACAAAACCGGCTACCGCCCCGCCCAGCCCCGGAGCCAGCGGCTGGGCTGCTCGGGGCAGTCGCCCTGGGGGCGGCCAGTTGTGGGAAGCCGATCCCCGGGCTGATGCAGGGGGACGCGGGGCCGGGGAGACCCTGGGCTCGGGGGCGGCGCTGTAATCCCCTTGTCCCGCAGGGGCCGGGCAGCCTGGCCCGCTCGGCGGATTGTGAGCGTGCCAAGGCGCTGAATGGGGAGCCGCGGCGCAGAGCCGGGCCATTGTGGCCGCCGGGCCGGCGCTGAAAGGAGCCGCCGGGGAAGGTGGCGAGAATAGGCGCTTATTGGATTCGGGAACAAAAGGTGTGGCAGGGAGGCGAGGGACAAAGGGGCCCAGGCGCCGAGATTGACGGGCCGCTCGGCCCCCCGCTGGGGCCCGGGCCCTGCGCTTTATGCGCGCAGGATGAGAAACGTGCTGGGTTTTGTTCCCCTTTCTGTGAGCGCAGGGGGAGAGGAGGGGGGTCCGCGGGGCGCGCTGATTAGGGGCGGCCCGGCCGGGCAGCCTCAATGCCGGGTCATTATTGCTACAAGTTTAGCAATTTCGCTGGTGCAGCGGGGGAGGGGCACCAGGGCCTGCCCGCGGCGGGCTGTGGGGACCGGGAGCACGGGCGCAGGGGACCGGGCTGAGAGGGGGATGGGACTGGGGGGAAAGGGGAGAAGCTGCCCCAGCTCCGGGTCGGTTCCGAGGCGTTTGAGCCGCTTCCTGAATGTAAAAGTCTGAAACCTGGGTCGGGAGAGGGGCAGGGACCAGCCCGGAACCCAGCCCCAGAGAGCGACCCCGGAGGGGGGGCAGGGACCCGTCCTGCTCCGCTAGGAGTCACTGGGGGCCCGGGGGCTTGGACCTGCCCCCCAAAGGCACCGTCGGAGCGTCCCGCGGACCTGGGCGCAATACCCAGGCTCTGAGTCCGGGGCGCTCGCTGGGCCGGGGTGTGAGAATGAGAGTGAGCAGCGGAGAAAGTGTCTGGGGTGGGGGCAGGTGGTCGGGACTGGGCGGGCTGCGGAAATGGGCTGGCGGAGGAGGTTGGGGGGGTCGGCAGGGTGGGTAGGAGCGGGGGGCTGAATGTCGGGGGAGCGGGGGATGGTGTGGCTGTGGGGGAATGTGGTGTCGGGGGGCTATGGGGCATGGGGTGCGGTGGGTCTGAGGGTGGCGTTGGGGGATGGGTCCATGTGAGGTAGAGGGTCGGGGCAGGGGTAGAGGGTCGGGGCGCTGGCGGACAGGGGGGTGGGACTGGGCGGGGGGAGGGTCACCGCAGATCATAAGGGGTTCAGGTGGATTTCTAGTTGCACGCCCTCTGAGGCGGAGCCCGAGCTGGAGGGTCCCCGCGGCTTCCTGCGGCTGTCGGAGCGCAGGCTGGGCCCGGGCCAGGGGTACCGGCCTGGGGCGTCCTCGCGGGCTCCGGCCGGGCCGGGAGCAGACGCTGGCTGGAAGCGACCCCGGCCAGGGGCCACCCACTGAGAAGGCGGGGGGGGGACCGGCAGCTCTGGGAAGGGCCCGTCTCGATGGAACTGTTGCCCCCCCCCCCCATCCCGAGGCCAGTTGAGGGCAAAGGTGCTGGGGCCAGGACACCTGGGGCCTCCTCCCGGCTCCCACCACCGCCCATCTGGCGCTGGGGGGCAGGAGAAGGGGTCCCGGGCCCCAGAGGCGGAGGATGCCTGCACTGGTGCAGGCGTGGCTCGCAGTCAGAATCCAGCTCCGGGTCAGGCCAGAGCCAGCGGGGGGGACGGAGAGCACGGGTCTGTAACGTGCCCCTCACCGTGGTATTGCAGCCTCAGCAACAGGCGGGGTACAGTTCAGCCCTGCCTGTGGGGTCGGTCCCTCCTTCCTGCTCCAGCTTCTGCTAACAGGTTCACTTGAGCCTGGGTGATGCCAGCTCCCCTGGCCCCGCGGAGCCCATAACGAGTCCAGACAGGAACTCCTGGGTGAGATTCCCGTTCCCCTGGTGCTGGTCAGAGGCATGAGCCGATGGTAACTAAAGCCTTGGGTGCTATGGAACAAGACATCAAACCCTTTGACAAGTGACTCAAATGGGGACCGCCTGGATTTGGCTGTGTGCCATACCTAACTGACACCTGCCGATTTTAGCTATAAACCCATTTGAAGGCACTTTTGCTCCCTGTGTGAATTAAATCAGGTTTGATTTGGTTTTTGTTTTTAAAGAAAACCAGTAACAGAGTCCATCCTGTATCTAGATTTGAACCCTGAACCCTTAGATCCACAGCTCCTACTCTGGACCACTTGATCTAAAGAAGTAATTTTTCTTTTAATTGGGCTGGTTACAGGGGTGGTAACACACACCCGGCTACTGAGTTACACAACTATTTGCCAGACAGCAGAAAACTATTGGAGAAGAGAAACCCTGGGTTCTGTTCCTGGGGTTTAGAACATAGTCGGGCTTCTGTGACTAGTCATGTAGGGGTTAGAGCAGAGATGGGTTACAGACCGGCCAGCCAACTACCAGGATTTGCTGCACAGTACTAGACACAGCAGATGGTAGTGGTGAGGGGTACATTCACGGTCTTCTGGCACCCAGCTCAGTGCACTATCCCCGAGCCTCCAGGTGTGTGGAGAGAAATCAATCATTACTCTCCCCAGTAGCACCTAGAGGTGTCAGCCAAGACTGGGGGCCCTGGTGCCACATAGGAAGTGACAGGATCTGCCCTAAAGAGCTTTCAGTTTAAACAGACCAAGAGTAGGAGGGAAAACAGGCCCAGAGAGGGGAAGTGACTTGCCAGTCGTCACACGGCAGCTCAGTAGCAGAGCTGGGAATAGCTCCAGATGCCCAGTCCCATGCACCATCCCCTGGGAGACAGCATCTCCCATTACCACCCCTAACCCCGGGGGTGCTCACCATAGTCCCTGGTCACCTGGCAAGGCAGGTCTATAGAGAGGAGGCACACTTTGTTAATGAAGACCAGGGAGGATTGTGAGATTTGGAGAGATTCAGCCAGGTGGCAAACTCCAACCTCGTGCACACCTGTGCAGGCCCACTAGGGTCTGGGGGAGTGGGCAGCATGAGGGCCGACTCTAGCCCCAAATTAGGTACCTGGACAGATTAAATTCATGGAAAACAAGTGCCAGGCAAGGCCTGTTGGGACTGGTTAAACTCCCATGTTGCACTGATGGGTTCAGAATGAGCGGTAACCCGCACAGAGAATGGGCTACGTGTGGTCAGGAGTGGGTGTATGAAGGTGACTGCTCAATGCATAGCAGTGGTCAGAATGCTTAGGTGCAGACTGGGCTGACAAGGGGACAGAAAATAATGTGGAAATCGCTGCTGTGCTCCTGCACACACAGATGCTCTCGGTGCCCTAAACCTCTGACTGCCAGGAGCTGGGACTGGTACAGGGGATGGATCACATGACATTGCCTTGTTCTGTTCATTCCCTCTGGGCACCTGGCCCTGGCCACTGTCAGAGACAGGACACTGGGCTGGAAGGACCATGGGTCTGACCCAGTCTGGCCGCTCTTATGATATTAGTCCTCAGCTGGTGACCTCAGCTCAGAAAGGAAAAAAATCTAGAGGAGGAACCAACAGTAGCGGCTAGAGATGGAGAAAGGCCATGTGCAGATTGAGGGGAGGACTTGCTATCTGGGGAGAAGAGCCATGGCCAAAGGAAATGAATGCATGGCCTAAAGAAGAGAAAACCAGCCCGTCTCCTACTCACCTTGCCCCTCAATCATGGGGGCACTTCGGAAAGGCAGCACGTTATTACAGTTCTACACAAGACAACACTTTTAAAAGTCAACATGTAATTAATTTGTGGCGCTGCATGATCCCAGCGAGACCTATAATTCAGGATAGCCCAGAAAGGGATTAGACTGAAGAGGCGGGGGAGGGGGGTGCAGAAAGAGGGACTTGAAGGGCAAAGGTCATGATTTCTGTTTGTTCCTGAAAGAGCCACAGGCTCTAATTTGGGAGCCAGAAAGGGAAGGTGCTGACGGATTTTGGACAGGGCTTAAACTTAAACACACTGGTCTAAAAACAATACAATGACCTGAAGCAAACAAGAGGGAGAGGAGACGCCAGGCCTGGGGCAGGGGCTCAAATTCGGGCTGTGTCCTGAGACAATTCCATGTTTAATGATGGCCTACAGACCAGGGAACAGACTGTGGCTCAGGACTTTCCTCCATCCACAGCAGAGCTCCCAGCAGTGCCAACAGGAGTTTACACAAAACCCAAGAGGAGAATCCAGCCCTTAGCTGTTTTGTCCCCCAGGGCCTTATTGTCACCTTCAGCATCACCCAGAGGGGCAGTCTGCTGTCTTGGGCCACTGCTAATTCTGCCCTGGTTTGCTTTTCTTCCCCATCCTTCTTCCTCTCTTCCTCTCCTTCCTTGCTGCTGCACCTCCCCTCCTTCCTTCCCGTGGCAATTCCCACAGTCTGCTACAATTACCAGCAGGGAAATAGTTAATACTAACCGGTATCCCCCTTGCCCTTGAGCAGGAGCACCCAGTAAGATCAACAGGGCCCTGGGAGTTCTGTCCTTTCAGAGCCATTGTTCCAGGCTGTCTGCAGACTCGGGGACACACTGCAGCATTGGGGTCATACAGCACATGGCTGGACCTGGTCCTGGAAGGGCTGCCATAGCGGGGTGAGCGCTCCACTCCTGCTTTGTGCCCTTGGTGCGAAGCAAAGCTTCCCCCCACCCCACTCCTGCTTCCCTGGGCCCTGATGCCGGCTGGGGTTGCTCCTCTCCAGTGAAGTCATAGAATCACAGAATATCAGGGTTGGAAGGGACCTCAGGAGGTCATCTAGTCCAGCCCCCTGCTCAAAGCAGGACCAATCCCCAACTGAATCATCCCAGCCAGGGCTTTCTCAAGCCAGACCTTAAAAACCTTAAAGGAAGTAGATTCCACCCCCTCCCTAGGTAACGCATTCCAGTGTTTCACCACCTTCCTAGTGAAAAAGTTTTTCCTAATATCCAACCTAAACCTCACCCACTGCAACTTGAGACCATGACTCCTCATTCTGTCATCTGCCACCACTGAGAACAGTCTAGATCCATCCTCTTTGGAACCCCCTTTCAGATAGTTGAAAGCAGCTATCAAATCCCCCCTCATTCTTCTCTTCCGCAGACTAAACAATCCCAGTTCCCTCAGCCTCTCCTGATAAGTTATGTGTTCCAGGCCCCTAATCATTTTTCAGAGTTGCAGCCGTGTTAGTCTGTGTCTGCAAAAAGAAAAGGAAGGTGCCACAAGTACTCATTTTCTTTTTTCTAATTATTTTTGTTGCCCTCCGCTGGACACTTTCCAATTTTTCCACATCCTTCTTGTAGTGTGGGGCCCAAAACTGGGCACAGTAC